TTTCAGGCGATTTTTCATTTGTAAGAATATTGAATATTCTTAAAAAATTATCGTGTTACCATGACAACTACTTTAGATACTTCATGTTCGGAAAATACAATGGTTTTGTAAGCAAGGCGAGGGTTTCTGCATGCATGTATTTTCTAGTTAGTATTAATGAATTCAAATTTAAAAAATGCTGAATAAATTAATTAACTGTAGACAGTGTTCAGTGCTCAAGAGAATATATAGCTTTAAAATGTTCGTGCATGATTGGCCGAGTACATGGAATCAACCATTCCCTATATACCGTCTCTATATGAGGCTATCCACGTTTACTGAAAATTATCAAAACTAGACTCTTTGACAATTTAACAAAATATATTTTAACAATTTCAAATATATATGTGTACATTACAGCTACAAACAATATATATAGTAAAACGTCCTACCATTTTTGTCCATCTTTCATATTTAGATTAACTTCTAACATTATCAATATTAAAGCGATTTTGCTCTACAAAGCGCTCCAGTACTTTCAAAAATATTTGTTCCAGCACTTTCAAGACTTTCAAAAAATATAAGACGAAACAAAATCCGAACAAAGGCCTGTGATATCACAAAATAATCATTCCTTTCGGGTTGTATTTCATCTTGTGAAAACGAATATATTGTGTGAAAGACGTCAGAATATCAGATCTAGAGGTGCGAGACGAATCAAAAAGCTGAACGCACACAGCCACAGGACACTAAAGTTTGGTTGAACGTTGTTGATAGCTACATCTTTGAAGATGGCAACGATTATTTTACAAAAATGCTGTTAACAATTTGTTTTACAAAATATATTAAAGTTTGCGCAGCTCTTGCAAATTCTAACATCTCTCACACTTTATTGTATATCAGTTATTATTTAAGAGAAAAGGTCAATAAAATGGCAGAATGTTAAACAATATATTACTAGGCAATGTTTCTAAAATTTAAACCTATGACTATGTCTAGGAAGAACAAGGTTCTGTTCATAATGTTTTTAGTTATCTACCTTTAACCGGCAACGTTCTTGAACTACCTTGTGGACTGTAACAATTCTTTTCGTAGATTTTTTGGAGAATCTTAATTTTAGTTCGTCTGATATTGGGTTTCCGTTGACAAATTTCTACTTTTCATGTTTACAAACAGCACCACAATTGAACCATATTCGTGTGCACGTAGTCATAGTCATACATATGAATGATTGTTTTTATCTCAGCCAATCATCCTATATATTTTTAAAAGCTCTCATAACCACAAGAGTTAACTATACGGATTCCTAGACGGTTTTGTTACTATAGGATGTTTTCTTCCAAACTTTCAAAGCACCTGATATCGTAACGTTTGGAATGCGGGAACATAAGTTTCATTTTCAGTATTTCAAACCAGTACAGATATACTATAGTTAGTGCCATTAATCACAACTGTTACACCGTTATAAACCATTAACTCTTTCCATAAAGTGAATATTTGCATTTGTCTTGTTAAACTTATAAATCATGAACCAATACTTAATGATTTTTGTAGTAGGTGTTTTTATATTTCTCCAACGAATACAACAGTTATTCACATTTAGCCTTTCAACCCTGGATTAATCCTTGACTGGAGCGTACAGATTTTTCTATCACATTACCCGTCTTTTGGGTTTTTTGATAACAGACGATTTTCCAGTTCTTAGTAAAAGAGAATGGTGTTTATCGTACATTGGCCATTAATCCATTTTCTTCATTTCTTTCTTCACTCAGAGTACATACGAGTGAAGAATACGTATTAGTCTGTCTTCCAGGTGCAAAAGGTTGGCATTTTATTCATAATATTGCTTTCATCACTGTCTCACTACGTCGCAAAAAGGTGGTTGAATTTTAACGTCATTTTCCACAAATACAAGACAAGGTGCTGAGCATTCAAGATTTACAAACGTTTTGATTTTGCCATATTGCTTGCTACATACTTCTTCGTATCATCGATGTTCATCCACGTTGCAGAATATTGGTTATAGTTCAATTTTATTTTTTACAAATACACAACTCAATACCGGTTTGTGTCACACACATAAACATACTTATTCCTTTACACGTTCAAATGTATCCTGTTTCCATCTTTTAATTAAAGTTTTTACAAAAAATAAGTATACCTTTTCTTTTAAGGTCGCTCGATACAGTTTTCAAAAATTCAGGTGTTCAACACTTTGACATGTTCAACTACGCATTTTTAGGATTTATTCAGCAGATATCGGGGGTTTACATATTTTGATATCTGTACTTTCAAATTATATTAGTTTTACTAACAGATAGTTCGTCGCTATGACGACATACGTGTACGAAATTCACTCCAAAATCGTCTCGTATAATTGGAAAAGAAGCATGGTGACCCCCAATTTTTTTCGGGCATTATTTTACTTGGATGAAAAGCTAACAATTGGCAAAATATAAAAAGATTCTGTAATGCCAATTTTTTGGAAAGTGCGAAAATGTCGTGCTCTTCGGTAAAATGTTTTTGGCATTACAGAATTTTTTATTTTTTGTATAATGAAAGTTTTTAGCGGTGCGATACAGCATGCAAAATTTGAACATAAGTCACCAGAAAAAATAGAGAGATACAGCGGATTGTTTTTCTAAAATGGAAAATTCTAATGACGTCAGTAATTGACATAAAACACCAAAGAACACGCGCAATAACGTGAGATGGGGCGAGCTCATTTTGGAAGTTCTTTCATTTTGTTAATCAGTTTTCGCGACCTGCGCCGTAAAAATGGTCACCCGGTTTTCTTCGCGATTCTTGAGCAGGGCTTTTGTGATAACTATATCGAGCCACCTTAACATAATGTTATTTTATTAAAAAAAGACAAATATTTTTTAGTTGAAAACGTTCTTTCTATATTATTAGCTTATGCCAAGATAGAGCGTTTTCAAATATCGCCTTTGAGAACAACAAAGATATTTTTGAGAAAATAGTTTATGAAAATACCTTTGTGATTTGTTGTTCTGAACGGAAATAGTGAAAAGAACCGACTGAAACAACGTCAAATCTGATTAATTTGATAAATATTTTGAGCCACTTTTCGTACCAAAATTTGCGTAACTTTCCCGAAATTGTTTTTAAATTGTTATAATAACGTCACTTATTATTTCCGGACTATAAGGCAAAACGCCAGTATATCTAAGAAATTTTTACCATGCAGGACATTTGCCTGTGTTCTTGCAATTTCCTAGTACTGCACGCATGAATCAAATATATAAGCAATTTAACACCCAATTTCAAACTCTTACAAAATCATTGGTTTTATTTTTTCGAGAAATTAGATCCAGTCTTTCAGTCGCTAGCTTGATCCGAAAAGAAAATAATGAATGCAAACCATTTGCATTACAAACTTGCATCAGCAGTGGTGTCAAGTAACGAAGTAAATGTACATCGTTACTGTACTTGAGTACTATTTTTGAGAAGTGAGCATGTAACAAAGTAAACTTTTTCTGGAGTACTTTTACTTGGAACGAAGTCATTTTAAGAAGTAACGTTTTACTTCGTTATTTTCATTTTGTAGCGAAGTATTTCGTTACTTTCTAACTTTTGTTTAATTTTACGTGATTTATTTCAGATTTATTTTAATATCGGGATGCGTGATACGACCTCTACATGCGTCTGGAATCTCTCGTTTGTGACTTACATATAAGCATTATTTATTTAATGGATTTCTTATATCTTCAACTGTCTGGAAAGTAGACCATGCCGTGAAATATTGTATATTCGGTAAACGCATATAATGCGTGTGCTGTTTTGTGTCTTTTGTATGTCAATCCATTTGAGAAGTCCCCCTCCACCTCTACACGCTACAGACAATAGTACTTTTACAAGTATTTTTTAAGGATATATACTTTGTACTTTTTACTTAAGTACGTTTTGCTTCCAGTACTTTTTACTCTTACGCAAGTCGTTTTATTGTTAATTACTTCTACTTTTACTCGAGTACAAATTCAAAGTAATTTAGGCACCACTGTGCATCAGGGCTGTTGCAACGTTGTTTCCATCAACCACGTTTTAACATAGGCATCCATATATCATCAACAAACATACATGAGACATGATGCACAAGTATATCGCTGGACAGCAGGAAAAAAAACACTTAAAATATTATTATTAGAACAACACTAAGATAAATTAGACGCATAACTATACTTCACAACCATTAAGTATGAAGAAAACACATTGTATTTGCTAAAGGGGCTGCAAATTATTTCAATGTGTAAGCACTAATTAACCACTAATTGATCTGGTTAATTTAAGCCGCCTTTTAGGTTGTGGTTGCCACATATTGAAGTTAGAAACGAATTTAAAATTGGCAACATATCTAATCACATTTTCGTTGCTGCAAACGTTACTAAAATTTTTAGCTTACATTTCACTTCTGCCCAATTTACAGCATGTTACCGCTTTGTTACGCACTTATTCAATGACCAGTCAAAGGCTAGCAGAAATTACTGCACCCCTTCCCCCACCCCCCGAAAATCATTGGCAATAATAAACAAGCCATTATTTGGGCTGAACAAGTGAAATCCATGTCAATACTATTATTTGTTGTCACATTTTTACCACAGGCCAGATGTCGGCCAAAACTTTAGGTTCACAAAGCATCATCATCTTCTTATGACTATTAAAGAGTTCACTATAAGGCAATTATTGGATTAAATGTTTTAAATATATAAAATTGAAAGACAAAAACGATTGCTAACTCACCTGATCAACTTTCGACATTAGTTAAACAAAGCTAAACTCTGTTTTCCCCACTGTGTTCTCATGAAGAAACAGTTTGGGCCACAACAGTCCAACAAACCCAAGGCTAGGTCGACATGTTATCGCGCACTAGATATTACGTTTATAGCAGGGCGAAGGGAGAGAGGGCGTAGAAACGGCCATACATCGAGCGGACCCATCCGTGATGCGGGCTTCGCGGGGGGTAAGACGTTCTAATTGTAAACAAATATGGCTACGCGTATATGACCCATCAGAAGATATGCTGAAACTATTGCTTCATAAAATATTACTTGTGTAAAATTTATATGTTTTTGTTATTTTCAGCTATTATAAGAAACTTAAAGATAAGATTTAAGTAACGAAAAACTTTATTTCGGGTGTTATTTTATTTCTATACTCTGTTTAATTTGGTGGTTAAAAATGGCCGTCGAAATGTTGTAAGAGAGTGTTAGCGCGCACTGCTTCCTGATAAAAAACCAATGATTTCCAAAACCTAAATTATAATTTGTTACTAAGTTATGATGAAAACCTTTGCGTATACAAAATTATAGAGTGAGCAAACATGAGACAGATAGGTTTTGAACCTTTCAAAGTTCGAGGTCGAATTGACAGTTGAAATAGTACCAAATTCCAAGCTGAAATGTGCAACTAAATCGTGTATATTTTTGTCAATTTTGTTCGCTGGCTTTGTTAAATTCACTTGCAATGGCTCGACATAAGTTACAACATACAAACTGAGCAGAGCCCATGAAAGAGCTATCCATAGTCCATACCCATACAGTCATTCAGCTTCCTTGCTATTTAGAAATTGTTGCCCATTAGTTGAAGAAGAATTGCTATTGTATGCGCTTGTTTGCACTTTTCTGAAAAACGTCTACAATATTAAGGCTAAATAGCAGAAAAATATGACCCAATAATCCATGCAATTAAAAATATCTATCAAATTAACTTCAAAAATCATGATTTGAGGAATTATATCTATTCAGGCAACCCATAATTTAGTGACAGGTCTTGGCAA